GCCGGCTGGGACGTCGGCTGGGACGTCCCAGCCGACGTCGGCTGGGGCGGTGGCTGGGAGGACGGCCGCGGTTTTTTTTTTGGAGGGTTTCCTCTTTTTTCTTTCCGTGCCCGGCTTGGGGGGCGAGCCGCAGGCGCGTTCTTCGTCGTTCGCCTTTTTTTTCTCGGTTTTTGTGTCGCTTGTGGAGGCCTCCGCCCTCCAAGCGCCGCCGGGAGGCGGAGTTTAACTCCGCCAAGGCGCGTTTTTTTCCCTTCGTTTTTCCTTTTTTTTCCGCTCGCCTGGCAGGACCGGGCCCGCGTTGAGCTCGCCGTGAAGGCGCGTTCTTCGTCGTTCGGATGTCGGCCTTTTTTTTTCCTGTCAGGACGAGAAGCTCAACGCCGCGGAGACCCGTGCCTCCGTAGCGGAGGCACGGGTCTCGGTCCTGGAGGAGGAGAAGGCGCGACCCTTTTTTTTCGGGGTTGGGCGGGACCCGCAAACCCGTTTTGCAGGCGGACCTGATGAAGGAGATCGCCTCGCAGCCCCCCTTTTTGGGGGGGTTTTCCTCCTGTCAGGCCACTCGCGTGGCGGTGCTCGAGGCCGAGCTGCGGGGCGAGAAAGCCTGGACGCAGGGCTTCCAGGCCCGCTGCCGGGCGTCTTTCCCCCCCCCCCTGCCCTCCCGTTGCGCCCCGCCAGGCGGATGCCATCGCGCTCCGACGGGAGCTGGAGCAGCTCAAGGCTCATCCGTCGACCGTTGAAATCGATCGGCTTCGCTTTCGTGCCAGGGCTCCGCGTCGGCGCCGCCTCCGAAGCGGGCTCGTGGCCGAGGACCCCCTCGCCGTCGTTTTCCCTCTTTTTTTCCGATCGATCCCTCGCAGGAGTGTGAGCCCGGCACGACCTTCGACCTCGGCCTCGACCTGGAAAAGGCGCTCGGGCCCGCGGCCTTTTTTTTGTTTTTTTTCCAGTGCCGAGCGGGCACTTAGGAGTGCCGAGCGGGCACTTTAGGTTAGGAGGTGCCGAGCGGACAGTGCCGAGCGGGCACTTAGGTAAACGTGCCGAGCGGGCACTCTAGATTAGGAGTAGGCAGTGCCGAGCGGGCACTTTAGGTTCGGGGGTGCCGAGCGGGCACAGTGCCGAGCGGGCACTTTAGGGGTAGGAGTGCCGAGCGGGCACGGTGCCGAGCGGGCACGTAGGATAGTACGGGTTCGGCCAACCCAACGACCCATAGCACTGACTTGCCCAACGGCCCATAGTACTGGTTCGCCCAACGGCCCTTAGTACTGACTTGCCCAACGGCCCTTAGTACTGACTTGCCCAACGGCCCTTAGTACTGGTTCGCCCAACGGCCCTTAGTACTGACTTGCCCACCGGCCCTTAGTACTGGTTCGCCCAACGGCCCTTAGCACTGACTTGCCCAACGGCCCTTAGTACTGGTTCGCCCAACGGCCCTTAGTACTGGTTCGCGCACTGGACGAGAGCCAGAAGGCTCGTGGGAGAGCACAACCCCCGGAAATTTCCTAAAAGTTCCGGGCGCGTGGCAAAGGTGTCGGGGATTTTGAAAAATTCCCGGGCATGTGGCAAAGGGGTCGGGGATTTTGAAAAATTCCCGGAATTTTCGAAAATCCCCGGGCATGTGGCAAAGGGGTCGGGGATTTTGAAAAATTCCCGGAATTTTCGAAAATCCCCGGGCGTGTGGCAAAAGTGTCGGGGATTTTGGGAAAATTTCCGGGGATAGAAGAGTACTAGACGGGCGCTGGACGGAGCACTAGACGAGCTGGACGAGCGCCCAACGACCCATAGTACTGGTTCGCCCAACGACCCATAGTACTGTTTCGCCCAACCACCCATAGTACTGGTTCGCCCAACGACCGTTAGTACGGGTTCGCCCAACGACCCTTAGTACGGGTTTGCCCAACCTCGTTTGATACTGGCTCGCCCAACTGGCCTAGCTCTGTGCCCCCCCTGAGGCGGTTTTATTTATATAGAAATCTAAATGCTTCGATCCCTGACATCCCGTGCTTCGATCCCTGGCATCCCGTGCTTTCTGTGCCCCCCTGAGGCGGATTTTTATTTATATAAAAATCTAAATGCTTCCATCCCTGGCAGGTTGTCTCCCGTGCTTTCTGTGCCCCCCTGAGGCGGTTTTTTATTTATATAAAAATGTAAATGCTTCCATCCCTGGCAGGTTGTCTCCCGTGCTTGCTGTGCCCCCTGAGGCGGTTTTTTATTTATATAAAAATCTAAATGCTTCGATCCCTGGCAGGTTGTCCCCGTGCTTTCTGTGCCCCCTTGAAGCGGCTTTTTATTTATATAAAAATCTAAATGCTTCGATCCCTGGCAGGTTGTCCCCGTGCTTTCTGTGCCCCCTTGAGGCGGCTTTTTATTTATATAAAAATCTAAATGCTTCGATCCCTGGCAGGTTGTTTTCGTGCTTTCTGTGCCCCCTTGAGGCGGCTTTTTATTTATATAAAAATCTAAATGCTTCGATCCCTGGCAGGTTGTCCCCGTGCTTTCTGTGCCCCCTTGAGGCGGTTTTCCACAGGCATTTAGATTTTTATATAAATATATCGAGCCGCTGCCGCTCAGACACCTTCGACTTGGCACACAGGCATTTAGATTTTTACATCAATACAAAAAGCCATCCTCATCCTTGAGGTGTGTGATATAGGGATGCCAACATGCGAAGCGCACGGAGCTGAGTTGCAGGTCGTTGGGCGAAGCAGTATTAATCCTACGTGCCCACTCGGCACTGCCCAAAAAACCTCCCCCCAGCGCCAGACCCAGGCCATTTGACAAGCCGCGAGGAAGTATTCTTTTCTTTTTCTTTTAAAAAAATAAAGTTTTCATTTTATATAAAAACTAAACGCATGCATTCCTTGTCAGACTGCCTGCAGAGGGATTCAAGCATTTAGCTTTTTAGAAAAAAAAACCGCCTCAAGGGGCACAGAGCTAGGCCATTTGACAAGTCGCGAGGAAGTGTTTCATTTTTTAAAAAAATAAGTTTTTATTTTATATAAAAAGCTAAACGCGCGCATTCCTTGTCAGACTGCCTGCAGAGGGATTGAAGCATTTAGATTTTTATATGAACAAAACCGCCTCAAGGGGCACAGAGCTAGGCCATTTGACAAGTCGCGAGGAAGTGTTTCATTTTTTTAAAAAAATAAGTTTTTATTTTATATAAAAACTAAACGCATGCATTCCTTGTCAGACTGCCTGCAGAGGGATTGAAGCATTTAGTTTTTTAGAAAAAATAAAACCGCCTCAAGGGGCACAGAGCTAGGCCATTTGACAAGCCGCGAGGAAGTGTTTCGATTAAAAAAAGTTTTTATTTTATATAAAACCTAAACGCTCGCATTCCTTGTCAGACTGCCTGCAGAGGGATTGAAGCATTTAGCTTTTTAGAAAAAAAACAGCCTCAAGGGGCACAGAAAGCACGGGATGCCAGGGATCGAAGCATTTAGATTTTTATATAAATAAAAAAGCGCCTCAGGGGGGCACGGAAAGCATGGGAGACAGCCTGCCAGGGATGGAAGCATTTAGATTCTTATATAAATAAAAAACCGCCTCAGGGAGGCACGGAAAGCACGGGAGACAGCCTGCCAGGGATCGAAGCATTTAGATTTTTATATAAATAAAAAACCGCCTCAGGGGGCACGGAAAGCACGGGAGACAACCTGCCAGGGATCGAAGCATTTAGATTTTTATATAAATAACAAACCGCCTCAGGGGGGCACAGAAAGCACGGGGTGCCAGGGATGGAAGCATTTAGATTTTTATATAAATAAAAAACCGCCTCAGGGGGGCACAGAAAGCACGGGATGTCAGGGATCGAAGCACGAGGGATCGAAGCATTTAGATTTTTATATAAATAAAAACCGCCTCAGGGGGCACAGAACTAGGCCATTTGACAAGCATCTCCAGGACCGGGCGGAGTTGCCGCTCAGACGCCTTCGACTTCGGCTGCTGTGGTGTAGCTTCCGAATGTCCGGGGCCTGGTTGCCAGTCATGGCCAAGCATTCGGGTACTTGCTGGGGCGTGCCATCTTTATCTTTTGAAGCATTTTCTCAGAAGGAACTTAGCTTTCGACACCTACCATGACCATGGATGCCGCGCGGTCCCTGGCGGTGCTGAGCCCAGTGCATCAACTTGGCGCTTCAGGATCTTCCCCGGCTCTGCGTCGTGCTGCTTCAAGATGATGATGCTCTTGGTGCACCCGGACAAGTGCACGGACCCCCGCGCTGGAGAGGCCTTCGGTGAGATGCAGAGCATCAAGAGCTTGGTGGTCGTCAGTGATCCGGACGCTACTCGCCAGCGGCCCATGACTGAGCTGGAGGGGCTTCTGCACCGCGCGCTGTGCAAGATCCGAGATCCGGTGGAGACCGCCGCAGAGGTCATCGCTTTCTGCGACGGCCTTCTCCGTCGGCGCAAGCGCCTTGAGATCTCTGTGTGCCAGGAAGCCTTGGCCAGGCTCCAGTGGCTCAACCTCGATGATGCCAAATCCGAGGAAGCTGGGTCGGCGGGAGCTCCAACGCATCTTTGAAAGGCTCTCAAAGGCTCTTGCGGAGGCTCAGGAGCAGACGGAGGAGCCGGCCGAGGAGCTGGCTGAGACGGAGGCCCAGGAGCAGGCGGAGGAGCCGGCCGAGGAGCTGGCTGAGACGGAGGCCCAGGAGCAGACGGAGGAGCCGGCCGAGGAGCCGGTCGAGGAGCCGGCCGAAAAGCCGGCTGAGGCCCAGGAGCAGACGGAGACCCACGAGCCGGCCGAGGAGCCGGCCGAGGAACCGGCCGAGGAGCTGGTTGAGGAGCAGACGGAGGCCGGCTGAGGAGCAGATGGAGACGGAGACGGAGGTCAAGGTGGAGGAGGAGGAGGTGGAGGAGGTAGAGGAGGAGGTGGAGGAGGTAGAGCTTCCGACACCCGCCCAACTGGGGCACTACACGCAGTTCAAGGAGCAGTTTACCGAGCCTCCCGAGGATAACCTAAAACACCATCGCCTTGTTTGGGAGCGGACGGACGTGTTCACCATCAGCAACGCTCTGCAGCTCGACGCCGTGCGGCGATGCCCCGACCACAGTCTCTTTGATGTGCTGATGAGCCTGTTCAAGCGCTCTGTGAATGTGGACCAGGACGGCATTGGGTGGATTCCCGTGCTCCTGCGCCCAGGCCGCGCCGCGCCTGGGCTGAAGGGGCGGATCTTCTCCGGCATCGGTCGGGTGCCCGCACAGGAGGCGCCTGCCAAAAAGCGCAAAGGCAATGAGGGCGCCGTGGATTCCGCTCGGGCAGAGTTCATGAAGCAGCTGCCGCCGGAGATTCGCAAGGAGATCGAGATGGGGGTCCCAGACACGCTTGTGGGGCGCTCTGCATTTGCCTTCAAGAAGTTGGTCCGCTACATTGCGCGGCATCGCCTTGGAACCGTCGAGCTGGACATCAAGAACTCGTTCTTCCAGCTCTTGAACCGACAGAAGCCGCTGCCGCCCATCATGGCGGAGTACCTGGACCACCGTGAGGAGAAGCTCGCGCAGATCGGCCGCGTGCTCTTCCACAAGCTGCCCGAGGCCCGCCGGCGCAGCGTGGCGAAGGAGCTGATGATTGCCCTGGGCTTTGGGGGTGGTTTCGCAAACTGGACGAGCAAGGTGCTGCAGGACATACCCTTGGCTTCGGATGAGGGGGAGCGCGGCGAGGTGGCTGCTTGGCTCTACGGCTTCGAGACGGCGGCGCGCCTCTACCACGTGGCCGTTTTTGAGCTGCTGCCACAGAAGGCCAAGGACTGGCACATGGAGCAGGGCCGCTCCACTGCCTCGGGGGCCTTTGCCCTGTACGCCCACCACGAGAGGTTGCAGATGGAGAAGATGGCGGCGGCAGCGGGCAGGGCCTTCAACGACCACCAGCACGACGGCATCGGGGCCCTCCGCTCCGCGAGCGAGGCCGTGAAGCGAGCCGTGGATGTCGAGGTGGTCGTGCACGAGCTGGAGGACCCGTGGGCATACGCGGCGGCGAAGTACCCCAACTTGGATTGGAGACTCAAGTCGAAGATGGAGTTCTCCGGGTACCACCAACTGCTCCAGCGCTGCAGGCAGCACGTCATACTTGGACGGGCGAGGGCAAACACCGTGGACTTTGCGAAGCTGGCGGCGGCGAAGCTGGTCCCGGTCGTACACGTTCCGGTGGAGGGGGGTGAGAAGAGGACCACCTACGAAAGCTTCGAGAAGGGAGGCTTCTGGCTGGTGCGAAACCGGGACGACTTGGGCCAGACCGTGGAAGACCTGATGAACAAGATGTGTTGCCCGGTCTTCGAGACAGCCGATGAGAACTACGTGCCGCCGCCGCCCCTCAACGATAATGCCTTCTTCACCGGTCTGTCCTCGTCCGTTCTGGGGCGTCTGGCAGGCCCGCAGATGGCGGACCTCGACGGCGACGAGACACGGCACAAAATCCTCTTTTGCGACGGCATGCTCTACGATTTCAAGGAGCGTGTCCTCCGATCACCGATCCCCGCCGACCGCATGGGCTTCCACGCAAAGGCGACCTCAGAGATGTGGCAGCCGAGCAAGGCGACCAAGCTCTTCGAGCGCATCCTGGCTTTCTTGAAGGAGCATGTGGAGACGGGGGTGTGTCTGCTCGAGGCCAGCGAGAATGGCAAACAGGTCATCGAGTGCTTCGAGGAATTGGAGCAGGACGGGTGCGAGATCCTCCGCCACATGAAGGTGTACGGGGACTGGGACTCCGTCCTTTACGAGCTGCGTCTCATGACCAGGGCCATCTCCGCGACGCCGCGGTTCTGCGAGATGTACTACATCTGGGAAGCCAGGATTCCGGGAAGGACACCAAGGTGAAGATGTTGCACGCCTTCCTCGGTCACGGCAAGGACAACTACGGGGTGCAGCTTCCGGGAAACTATGTGGTGCAACAGACTCGCTACCTGACCGCGAAGGACGGACCCGCGCCTTACCATGCAAGGACTCTAGGCAAGCGGCTGGCCTGGGCCAGTGAAGTCCCCGAGCACTACTCGTTGGCGGATGACTTCATCATCCGCCAACGAGTAGTGCTCGGGGAGTGAAGCTGACCGTTGTCTGGCAGACTCGAAGCCGCCGCAGCATCCCATCCAGTCGAGTCACACGGGGAGGGTGATTGCTTGTTGCCACCAGCAAAGCCGTAGGCATGAAGTCCCGGGGACCCTTGTTGAGCTTCCTGCTGCAGACTGGCGCACCTTCCATGTCACAAAAGGGCCGTCCATGGCCACCGAGGAGCGAGCCGTGGATGGCCTCAAGACCCGGATAAACCGAGGAGAGTTCAACAAGTACATCTTCTTCCTTGCGGCAAATCTCGTGGACTCGTTGGAGATGGAGTACAACCCAGGCACCGAGATCAAGCCGCAGCCACCGGAGATGAAGATGAGCGCCATGGACCTGGCCCCATGCGCAGACAAGGACGAGGAGGCCAAACCCGAGGCCTTCATGACAGAGATGTGTGAGCTGGTGCCCTTGAAGGAAGCAAAAGCCTCCACACGGAGCTGACGATGGCGCTGAAGACCTACCTCAGCCTGGACACCTTGGGCGCGGCAAAGAGCGTGATCTCGAAGTTGGGGATCAAAGGACAATCCTATGGCCCGCGGTACATCTCAAGCAAAATGAGCGCATGGTGGGTGTTTGGGCGACGTACAGTGTCAGCCATTTGCAGAGACCCGGCAAGTCACGTGAACAGACGGCGTGCTTGCGCAAGGAAAACACTGTCCAACCCTTGCTGTCTTGAGCGCACCTCAGATGTCCAACCCTTGTTAGATGCCTCAATGCCTGAGGCTTCTGCGGTCTCGACGTCTTGCTCGGACAGGTCGATAGGTCGAGGACACGGACATGGGGATTTAGATTTTTATAATGACGTCGTCTGAGAGACTTGGGGTGCTCTCAGGAAAATCATGCTAGGGTTCCCCAACAACACGACTCAAAGTACTACAAGTTTCCAGCGCTTTATGCAAAGTTTCCAGTTTGGTCCAAAGTAGCCGTAATCAGTCGAGGGTCCTGGGCCTTGGAGGCGCCAGGAAGTCGTCCAGCTGCCTGACAGCTGCCGGCCTGCCCCCTCGTCAGTCGGCCCGCCGCGTTGCCGCTGCCCTGGGGCGCCGGCAGCGCCAGCTTCAGCAGGGTCTCCCGGCCCTCGGTGCTCCGGACGGTCATGGAGTCCACGGCCCGCAGCTGCTGCACGTCGCCGTACTGAGGGTTGAAGCTCCTCGCCGCGTTCGTCGGTGCTCGGAAAGCGCCCGCGTCCTCCACTGCCTTGATGCGGCGGTTCGTCAAGTCCTTGTTGTGCTGGAACCTGTCGGCGTTGTCTTGGAGGACCCAGAACTCTGTGGCCGGCTGCTTCTCCACGTCTTCCGGGGCGCCATGCACCGTCTCGTGGGGCCGCGCGTTGTAGGCCGAAGCGGTCTGCTCAAAGTGGTCGCTCTACTGGCCGCCCTTGCGGGCCACGCGCGTGGCCAGGTCCTTCTTCAGCGTCTGGATTCCCCGGTCCACCACGGCCGTGGCGTTGCGGTCCTCCGGGCGCTTCGTTCGGCGCACGGCTTCTGTTAAAACCCTCTAGGCCCCGTGCCGAAATTGGGTAGCTGTTCTGAGGTCCTTGTTGGTGTTGCTCCCCAAGTTCCATTGATCGCCATTTGGCTCAAGACACAATTGAGGTTCAAGATCTGATGTGTGACTGCAGACCTACGTGATCGGCATTAAGAGCAAAACAACTGCTTGCGCCGCTTTGTCAGGACCACTGGTGTAACTATCATTCCTTCTTCCTTACAACGTTTACACGGGTTCGGCTATAACGGCATCGTCCGTATACACCTTTCTACGTGGTTGGTATTGAAGCTTGAGGGTTCGGTGCATAGCGTCCCACGGGACGTCACCTTGCCGTCTCTTGACAGGTTATCAGCCGTAACTACAAGCTCTACACTGGACTGGGAGACAGCTGGTTTATTGCGGGTACAGGGACAATAAAGGGACGATAACCTACACAGTACAATGGCGTCTTCGGCGAGCCCAAGTACTGCAACTTTTGGGAACAGCAGCTCAGAGGGATCCAATGGATTGATGGCACTTCCTGCGGTGATGGATATGATTGCAGATTCACAGGATGAACCTGGGAGCGGAGGTTCCGCGCTATTCAGCGACATATCTACGCCCACAAGATCATGGAAGCAGATCGATGTTCATCAGGAGTCGAAGAAAAGAGAATCCCCACCGAGAAGATCATCATCTTCGCCTGCGACACCACGGACGTCGCAGAAGGGCGTGAGATCGACATCGAAGGGTGGGAGGTCAAAATCACCCACCAGTGCAGATTTTCGTGCCGTGATCAAAGAGAAGAATACGATGGAGGTGGAGATCGGGGAATATCAGAAGACACTTGATGAAATGTCGGCAGCAATGGCGAATCTTAACCAAGAAGACTATGGAAGCACCATCCGGATCCAGGAGCTGGAAAGACGATGCGAGATTGCCAGCAAGCAGTCGGGACATCTTGTGAGTCACCACCAACACCACATGGCTGAGGCATGGCGCAAGTTTGAGGAAGAAGCCCAACAGATGCGCAAGGTGGAAATGAACGCATTTCAGTACGGGGAGAAGAAAGACATGGAGTCGAATATTATAATTCAACAGATGAGGCAAGCTGAAGGAACTATCATGGAGCAGAAGCGGGAGATTGCATTGATGAGATCCTACATGGCAAGCGAGAAGTCGGCCGCGCAGGAATCAGCTATACGTGCAAATCAGATACACCGTGAGGCTTCACAACAGATATCAGCCTATCAGCAACAGATCAGAGGCATAGAATCTTCTACATCTATCGAAAAGTTCAACGAGGAGGAGATGGTCCAAAGTCTGAAATCACAGTTGGAGCATGCACTCGTCAAGCGACCCGAGACGTACTCTTTGGAGGACTCCAGGGAACAGCTGATGGCGAGGCTGAATGACGTTACAGTTTTTGCGGAACAGGAATCGAAGAGAGCAGATTGCTTGCTTCGCGAAAAAGAAGAGATCGTCAAACAGTATGAGTCCGACGTGTCGATGAAGGACCAGATGATTGCTGTCGAAGGTGGTCATCGTCAGGATGCGATCTTGGAGATAGCCCAGGTCAAAGAAGAGAAACAAGAGGAACGGTGCACGATGGACGAGAAGTCGAAGGAGGCTGAGTACTGGAGATTGACAGCTAAGGGAATGTACGATGAGTACCTCGAGGAGATGCATGAGCTTCAAGGACAACTGAAGGAAAGAGAGGCGACGCTCAAGCAAGAAGAGAGTTTTGTACGCCAACTCGATGCTGACAACGAGGAACTACGTGCACACAAGAAGCTGGAGATGCAGGAAGCCTCCAGCAGCAAAGATGGACATCGTGAACGAGCAGTAGTGAAACGCGCTGAGGGAGGAACCCAGGCTAATTCAAATAGGATAGACAAGAAGGTGGCTGGGACAGTCCCGTCATCGTCTTCAAATCAAATCCCTAATTCGTCGCTGATGCCAGGTTCGATCCTCTTTCCGTCTTTCGGTGATCCAATGATCGATGTACACCGATCCCAGATGCAAGGGGTTGTTGGGCATGTCCCACAATCCACTACTACGACTGGTGGTGGTGATGGGGGGGGAAACAACGGTACTACGCCCCCATTGGATTACGGGGGATTCCCGCCCAATGGGAATGGGCAGGGAGCGGGTCGACGTCAGTTGAGCCTCGCTGGTGGCGGAGGAGGACCTCCGGATGATCCACCCGATGATGAGGATGAGGATGACGACGACGAAGGAGATGATGAAGACGAGGAAGAAGAAGAGGAAGAAGATGATCGGACACGGAGGAGACGAAGGAAATCGAGAGATAACCGAGAGATCAAGAATGATCGACCGAGAATCTCGAGGAAAGAGGCCGAGAGAGTATCTATTCCGGCCTGGCCAAAGATCCATCAACTTGACACCTGGAAGATGCAACTGCTGATGAATGTTCTGAGCGCATGTGCAGATCCAGATACCGACGCATGGACGACATGGCTGGAGCAGGCTCTTGGGTTGAACCCAGACCTGGATTTGCTTAGCGATTCAGGTGGCGACAGATTTGCTACGATAGATATTAAGATGGCCATGGGCATGCAGAACATGCTGAAACAAGCACCTGACGAAGCCAAGGACGTAAACCTCGATGCTACACGACACTCTGAACTTCGACATCAACAAGGGGTGATCGTGAAGGGACGAGAGTTGGTGGCATTGGTTATGCAATCATTCAGAACTTCCGACAGAACGGATCTTGTCTACCACATCGAGCATTTATTCAACCTCGACTTTCCTGGCGACAAGAACTTGGTCATGTTCAGGAACAAATGGTATGATTTGCTGCTAAAGATGAGGAGCGAGGACAGACCCAGTAAGCTGGCTCTCAGAGACATCCTTTACAGGAAGATCAAAGGGAGCAAGAAGATGGAGTTCGGCCTCAATGCCTACCATAGACTACCGGACAAGCATCCTCAGAAGACGTATGAAGTCTTATTGGCGTTGATCGACTATCAGATCAAGGCAGATCGGGAAGACCTGATGCTCGACATGAAGGAGAAATCGGTCAAGTCGATGATGAAGTCAGGCGGGAAGGATGCGGCTCCAGCAACTGGCAAACAGGAGAACCAGGGTGGCAATGGCAGAAAGGGGAAACCCGGTGGACCTGATGCCGCTCCTGTGCTCCCAAAAGCCAAGGCAAAGGGCCACGCTGGCAAGAACGGCAAGTCCGACGGGGCCAGCGACAGAGGCAAGAGTCCGGGCGGAAGCAAGGATAACCCCTGCTGGTACCACTTCAAATCGGCGAAGGGGTGCGTGAAAGGAAATGAATGCACTTTTTCCCACAGCAAGAAGACGGAGCACAAGTTGGAGAGCATGTCCAAGGGGAAAGGAAAGGGCAAATCCAAGTCCAGATCATCGTCACCAAAGAGAGATGATGGAGCATGCTTCGCGTTTCAGAAGGGGAAGTGCGATAAGGGGAGCGCTTGCAAATATAGGCATGAGCTCATCAAGAACAATTCAGCTCCAGCAACGTCAAATGACAAGGCGCAAGCCAAGTCGAAGGCTGCCACCAAAGCCGCAGCGCCTGCCATTGCGAGGAGGGCCATTGCAATGCCTGCGATAGTCCTGAAACAATCGGCCCCTGCGGGGAAGGTAAGCTTCAAGAAGGACGTTGATCATGTCGGACCGGACGAAGCCGAGACTATCTACCACGAGCACGATGACGACGCGATGAGCGAATCATCGAGATGGTCTGGCGAGTCCGAGATCCCCGAGAAAATGGTGTGTTTCAAGGAAGTGCTCGACGTCGACGAGAATGGGGAGATCACCTACCTCGAAGACGAGAGAAGGCAATGGGAACGAAAAGGGGAATGGTACGGTTATGAGGACAATGAGAATGAGCCTTATCAGTACGTGTACGTCGATGAGAAGAAGTTCAAAAGCAGTGATCATCGTGAATTATCAGCCAACCAAGTCCAACGATCATTGATACGTGC